GATTTGATTTGATTCGATCAAATATTTGATTTGATTTGATTTGATTTGACAAATATTTGATTTAATTTGATTCAATTTGATCAAATTCAAATTGATTCAAATTAATTTGATCAAATATTTAAGTTCAATTTGATTTGATCTGATTTGATTTGAAAAATCAAATCAAATTCAAATTGCTTAAATATTTGATTTGATTTGATTTTGAGGAACCCTAGATAAGACGTCCCACTTTTTATCCTAAGATAAGCATTTACTTAATAACTTTCTCATCACATCCATAGTAATTTTGACATTTCAGTCTAGTACGCTTCTTTAGAAAGTTCTTTTCTGGAGAAGGATTCATCACATTTCTTATAATACCTATCTGGGCAGGTGAGATACAAAGAATCGGTATTCCTATATTTTATATCAAACCCTTTCTTTGATATAAATTCGGCAATAAGATTAAGGTTGTATTTTTCCGCTATAGTAGTTCTACAGGCTAATTCGCGAAGAAAGATTGGAGATAGTGAGTTTTCAGCTTCTTCATAAAAAGTGTTCATATACACTTTCAAAGCTTTTTGCTTTAAATCCTAATAATCATAATTAAAACATATAGATAAGTATCCTAAATTTAAGCTTTTCAGAATCTTTTGCCTCTTTCTTTAGCTGAACTTATCATTTTCCCAAGATGTTGCTTTTTCTTTCCTAGTGAAGCTAGACGTACTTTAAGATTCAACCTCTTATTAAATAAATCCTTCAATACAGTCAGATATAGACCTTTCTTTTCTGTTTGGCTATCATGGTGAACGCATCAAGCTTGGACAATTGTTTTTTAAACAAAAACTCAATCTTATGCAAGTTATTTCCATTATTTTACGTAATATCAGCATCATTTGGATCAAATATAAATTTTTCTGGGAAGAGGTTATATGCCATGATAATATTGGGACATAATGAAGCAAAATCCAATCCTATTACAACTTTCAATCTCTTTTTTAGGTGGAAATATATACATACCAGAATATTTCCCTTTTTCTGTATTTTCACGAACCCTTGTACTAATTAATATTTCTCATTTGACAGCATATGCGCTAAAAAAGTTCTATATCTTCATTCCATTTGCGTGATAGTGTACGTCAAAAAGTGAAAACATAAGCTATAGAAGCAACTTCTCTATAATCATTTATTATACTTTAGTTCACCAAAAGTTCTTGATAGCGTAGTACATCTATAATACAGTAATGCTCTACTTCACGCATATTTTTCACAGTTGTTGAAGAGGTGCTTTTTTTCACCTCTGAATAGATTTTTCACATTTTATTATATGTCATGTCAGCCTTACTGTCAAGCACTAGTCAAAATCATTTCTTTCAGCACTAATACCTTTCGATAAACATTCAGCTGATTCGGTCATGTAATTTAGCAAAAATTTGGCTTAAGTTACAAAAATCGATAGTAATTTATTACATCACACATAGTGATACCTGACTAAACTCTTTTCTGAAAAATTGTAATGTTGTCAAAAGTTTCATCTCTTTAATATTTTTATATGAATAAATATAAATTATTATATTTTGTAATGTATTTTAATTCAAGAAATTTAGATCAAGTTAAATATAATTTAAGCAATTAAGTAAAATAATTTCGTCATTAATAAAAAACTAGTTTTGTCATTTTGGTTTCGTCAATTTCGTTATATTAAGAAAGGTAATTTTGTCAGGTATCACTAATCACATATAATTTAGCATTATTTTGGCACTAATACTTTTCAGTAAACATTCAGCTGATTCTGTCATATGATTTGACAAAAATTTGGCTTAAGTTACAAAAATCAATAGTAATTTATTACATCACATATAATTTAGCATTATTTCGACACTAATACCTTTTGGTAAACATTCAGCCGATTCAATTATGTGATTAAGAAAAAATTCAGCTTAAGTTACAAAAATCGATAGTAATTTATTATACCACACATAATTTAGCATTACTTTAGCATTAAGACCTTTCGGTTATAATAATTTGCAAAATTTCAGTTAGACTCAAGATTTGGTAACAAATCAACTATATCTTACTGGTCGAAATCTGGAGAGCCGATTTTTGTGAAAATTATATAAACATTCTAAGAGTAATCATCTCAAAGATATGATAGAAATCATCTCAAAAGGAATGAACAATCATCCTAAAGAGATGATACATTCATTCCAAAAGAAACGATACATTCGTTCCCAAAAGAAATGATAGAAATCATTTCAAAAGGAAAAAACAATTATCCCTAAAGGAATGATACATTTGTTCCAAAAGAGATGATAAAAATCGTCTCAAAAGGAACGATACATTCATTCCCAAAAGAGATGATTTCTATCATCTCAAAAGGAACGAACAATTGTCCCAAAGAAACGATAGAAATCATCTCTAAAGGAACAAACATTCGTTCTAAAAGAGACAATTGAAATTGTCCTTAAAGAAACGATACTTCATCATTCTGAAAGAATATTTTTTTTATCATTCTTTCAGAATGATACTTCATCGTTCTTTTAGAATGATACTTCATTATTCTTTCAGAATGATGTTTTTTTATCATTTTTTCAGAACGATACTTCATCGTTCTAAAAGAGACAATTGAAATTGTCCTTAAAGAAACGATACTTCATCATTCTAAAAGAACGATTTTTGTTATTATTCTTAAGGAATAATTAAACTATCGTTCCTTTAAAATGATTTTCTATATTGTTTTAAGGAATGATTAAATTATCATTCCAATAGAACAATTTTCTATATCATTCTTAAGAAATGATCAAACTATCATTTCTTTCGAATTATTTTTTATATTATTTTTAAGAAACGATCGAATTATTGTTCCTTTTGAACAATTTTGTCATCGTTTGGTTGATTTTGCAATCAGATGATGCAAAATCATCCATTTGTAGCATTTATGATAAATAGTTTAAATTTTAGATTAATTGAAATTTTAGTTTAGTTTATAATATAAAACTGATTAAACTTTCAGAATATTCTAAAAAATTTTATTTATTTATTTATTTATTTTTTTTCAGAAATTTAACCTTTTCCTTTCTTTTTTCTTGTTTTTTTTAGGAAATTCTTATTTTGGAATTAAGGTAAGCGAATCGGAAGTGTCTTTTGTGGCATTTTCCTTTCTTTGTTCTTATTTTTTAGGAAATTCTTTATTTTGGATATTAAGGTAAGCAAATCGGAAGTAACTTTTTGATGGTTTTAACTGGTTTTTTTTTATTTTTCTGTTTTTTTAGGAAATTTATCTTTTCGAAACTAAGGTAAGCCTTTCGGACGTGACTTTTGGATGGTTTTTAACTTTTTTTCTTTGTTTTTCTTTGGTTTTTTAGGAAAATTCTCTTTTTCAAAACTAAGGTAACCTTTCGAAAGTGATATTTTGGTGGTTTT